CTGATTTGGGCTGCAAGTGGTACTGGTCAAAATAGTTCCTGAGGACAGTGATGTTCTCGACTTCTTGCGTAGTGGTCACTGCCTCTGCGGTGAGCAATGTTGTTGCTCCATCCAGGATGACAAAAACAATGATGTGTTCTCCCGTTCCAAGAGGAACTTGACAGTGATCAATGAATGTCATGTCACCAAAGGTGTCCGCTCGAAGTCCACTTGTTTTGCTTCGTGACGGTGCATGTTTTGCCGCTTGGCAAACTTCACACTCACTTCGGATTTTGTCAAATAGATCGAATGTTGATTTCGGCAAATGAAGTGCGCGGGTTCTAAATCGAAATTGATCTGTTATCATGTGATGATGCTGTAGGTGGAGCTTCTTCAACTCTTCGGGATTTGACAATCGCTGTGGATTCTGCCTAGGGCAAGCAGAAGCGATGTTGGTTTTTCTGAGGATGGTGCGAAAGGATCTGGCTCAATGGTCGACCGGCCCCTCTGTCTGCTGCCGATCCTGAACCTGCTTCTTCGTCCTTAAGCGAATTGTCCGCGAAGGTGAAAATGGTCTTACCTATCCACAGGTTGATCATCGGTTTATTTGCCTGGGATGTAAGTCTCCAATTGCCTTCTAGGATGTCTGGATCTCCACCTGCGGATGCATCAATGATTTCCGTAGTACGCTCTCGGCTAATGTTGTCAGGATTGATTGGACACTCCTTAGCTCCATTTGGTGTGAACAGCGGCTTTCGGGGCGTGATGTGCGCACGGATGAGCTGCTTGTTCTTCTTGTCAAGGATCCAAGTGTCCTGCTTTTGAGACCCAATGATCTTAGGAGTTGCTAGGTCCTCCTTTGTTTCGGGTGATTTTGCTGCACAAACAGTTTCACTCTTGGTGAGATCCCCGGAGGGAAACTTGATGCTGTTATCATCGTCATAGACATAGTTGGTGAGGCCTTTGTGAGCAATTTCTCCATGTGCCTTCACTCTTGCAACTCCAGCGAGATCGACGAGTGCATGTCCTGCACCGGATACTGGAACTGCTTGACGGTTCATGCCAAAGGCTTTGCATGTGATCTTGTCACATTGAGGTGTGTGCTCGATGGTCATGTAGAGGTTCCGCATCTGACTGATGCTGAGGAGGATCGGTACAGTTCCTTGTTCAAGGACGTCGATGTTGGTACTGCATGGAGGAGTTGTGTGATATCGAAGATGCAGGGTCCAATTTACCCTGGCGGTCTCTCCGTTTGCAAAAGTGAACTTGGTCTCGGCCGGGATGTACTGATAGGAGATGATGTCCTTCACTGGTTCGATGGCCTGAGTAAAACGCTGGATTGCATGCCAGCTGCCCATAGATCTGGTACATCCATTGTCCAGAATCGCATAGGTCGGATTGTGCTGAGGGTTGATGACAGGCGCAATCAGCTTTGTTGCCAGAAGGCTGTGATTGGTTGTTGCGGACAGATTGTGTTCTGAAACTGTATCTGATTGGATCAGCTTCCCGTGGATGGCCTTTTTCTCATGATGATCATATGCATCATGGAATGCCATTAGCGCTTGTCCTGTGCTGGATGTCTCATGGGATGAGTACCAGCCATGTTCGTTCCATGTCCATGACTGACCAGTCTTGGTCTGTCCAACCGGCATAGGTAGGCTCTATGGATGGCGCAGTCTGCTGGATGGCGGGCTGCTCCTCCGTCTTCTCTGCGGTGGCTGCGAACGTCTTGGATTTTCCTTTCTCCTGTCCGCTCTTTCCTTTGCCATTCTCATAGGATGGATAACCTTTGTTTCCATCATAGGGATATTGGAATTTTGATTTTCCTTTCTTTCCCTTCTTTCCCTTGCCTTTTCCCAATTTGCCTGGTCGTAGGGATCATAGTTTTCGTTGGCCATATAGGCCTTTCCGCCAGAACCGCTCTTTCTGAAGGGTTTAAAACCACCTCGTTGGTGACTGCCCTTTTTGTTTCCTGATTTTCCTTTTCCTTTTCTCTTCTTGAACTTGAAGTTCCGCCCCGACACTTGTCTTGCTATGAACGCATCGTTCTCCTCGAGGACCCAGAACGTCTCTTCATCGTTGTTAGACATGAATCCTTCAAGTCCTTCTTCATCCTCAACCCAGAAGCCTTCTTCTCCTTCAAATTCACCTTGTTCGATGATGAAGAATGTGTTGCTTCGGTTGCCTCCTTGAGGTCGGATGGATGGATCTTGAATGGATGTCCTCGTCGTGATGAAGAGTTCATGGTAATGAGTCTTCAGCATCTCATAGGAGTAGTTTTCTAGTGAGATGTTTCTCAATGACATTGCACTTGTCAGTCTCTCTCTTTGCTGATCTGACAGCTCACTCTGGATGATGAAAAACTGTGCAATGAGATTATCCCCGAAGGGAAATGCGTCCCGCTGCCTGTCCTGCATTCCCGTGATATATTGTCTGAGGACTACTGGATCATCCTCATTGAGCAGGGCTGGAGGCGGTGCTCGAACACCGGCTGCTTGCTGATGTCGAGCAATTGTTCTTGCATTTGCTTCCTGCACGGATTGTCGAAATTTTGTGGACTGTGCCGTAAAAATTGGCATCAAGTCCATCCATGCTGCCTTCAATCTCATAAGAAGGATTTCGAATTTTGAGGTAAAAATGAGGAACTCTTGGTTCTGCCTTCTATGGTTGAAGAAACTGAGGAGCTGTACAGATACACGTTGGTCGCACCTTTCAAAAAGTACTTCTTCAGCGTGTTCTTGAAGTAGTTGACTCCTTCATCAGGATCTTGCAGAAGGTCATTCTGGAGGACTGCCTTATACATATATGCATCTCCGGTGAGTCTGCTCTTTGGCAGAGGTCCTCTCTTGGATGCTTCTACTGTTGTGATTGTCACCCAGTCGTCCACGAGTTCTTCATACCTGAGCCAGCTGACTTTTCCGTCGTACGATGGCGGCTGCTTGGCGGTCATCGATAAATTGAGTGTTTCCTCCGTATAGCCTTGTGGCTTTGCCATACTTGAATAGGCTTCCATGAAGCCTTCTCCATCGGATGACACCTTGGATCTCTGGATGATTGGAGGATGGATTGTCCCTGGTGGATTGTCTTGTGGATAACCCTGTAAGCGGCCTGCAAAGGTTCTTTTGTCACGCAATCATGAATGATGCTATGTTACACAAAAGGGGCCTTGAGCCAAATGTTGCAGGAGATCAAGTGTTCAGAAAACCAAACACAAAAGGGGGGGGGGGCGGAATGGAGCTCTTTTCTTTTGGCTTCCCACGAACCAGCCAAAAAGGGGTACCGAGCCTCCAAGCCTCGACGAAAATCCAGCCATGGTAGGTGTCCTGCTCGAAGCCCGGGCAGCGCATCTTCGAACTCTTCTTGGAGCGACTCGAGGCCAAGCATCCAGGCGCGGCATCTGAAACAACCTGAACTGTTGATTTTGGGGTCCCTGTATGTCCGGAATCGTGGCTGTAAACATTGCTTTGGGGCCCATTTTCCGGTTTTGGTGATTGTCAGTATCACCTTTTGGCCCATAGGTGAGTTTCCCTTGGTAGGCTGTAACCCGTCAAAGGTGCCGTTTGGATGGGTTGGCTTCCAGAAACCGCTTCCAGATTGTGCAGTCACAGCCTCGCTTTTAATTGAGCGACCTTATCCGTTACCACTGGATGGGGTTTGTCCATCCAATGATCGTCAGACATGTCCCAGGTTTCCGCGCCGTTTGTTTCAGTTGTCAATGCAGGCATCACGGCTGCCGACTGCATTTTCGTGGACGACAAGGCCAGGTTGTGGTCAAGTGACCTGAGTGACAACACTACATACATTTGAGTTTTTCGAGTGTTCATTATGACATACTTGTTCGGGTATGTCTGTGTTTTTGGACCCCCTGGTTCCTTTGGAGAGGAAGCAGGTGTAGTTGGAATCCACACGTTCGCTCAGAACTCTGATTCTTGGACTGCCAAGTCCGGGACTGCGCTGTCTTACCTTGACATTGAGCCTCCTGTTTCTGCCACTCCTTGGGGCAAGTCTCAGATGCCTTGTTTTTTGGGTTGTTGACGAGGGAAACCAACGTGACAACCAACGGGCAAAATCGAAGGAAAACCACAGGAGCCCACGGACAAGACCCCCAAGGGAAACCGAACCCCGAAACTGGCATTTTCAGGGACAGCACCTGTCTGTTTTCTGGAACTCCGACCGAAAAAACCGAAAGACCAGGGAGCCGAAAACCAGGCAGAGAACGTGGCGGCGGCCGAGAAGCTGGGCTTGCGGGGTCTGCTCTTCGACGCGCGGAAGAGCGAGCCAGGGGAGCTGACAAAGGCAGAGTGATCGGAGGGAACCAGGGAACTGAGAGGACGAGGGAACCGAGGGGGGGGGGAGGGGAAGTCGGTTTGTAGATTGCATTGGATGGATGAATCGACGGATTGCTGGATTGATTGCATTTAGATTTTTTGATTTGGTTTCGACACTGGCCCATGTTCCTCACCCTGGTTGATGGCCGGTGTTGGGTTTTCAGCCAGGCTCTGAAGAGTGCCGGGCTGCCTTTGCCCTGAGCCCCGGAGCCGCCTGAGGTTCTTTCGACCACTTGTGGCCATGGATTCTGGCTACTTACAAGAGCGCACGATAAGTTGACTTAGTGAAGTGAAAGTATCAGTGGATCGTGTTTTCTCCTCTTTCATATTCTACGCGGTCCCTTTTCACACACTTGCCCTGACAAAGTGCGGGGCGTGGATTCCGGTGCAGAATGGCCAGGGAGAAAGTGTCCTGCGTGCTGGGACGAAATTGATGAGTTTGTCCTCCGAAGAACCCCCAAAATGGGTGGCTTTCCTTTGTTTTCCACACAACGAGCCCAAACAAGGGCACCCTCAACATAAAAGACTGCCCACAATGACGGCCCTAACAGGTTGCCCCTTCAAAGATATGCATACCCAAGCAAAACCTGCGACGCTGTGGCAAGCGCTCGGCCGGCCGAGCTGGCGTGAGCTTGGGCTCGGAATCGGCACGCTGGTCCCGTGTCTCGGCTCCGTCCTCCGCTCCTTTGGCAGGTGTCGGAGCGGGCTCTCCCAACGGCCAGGCCGGTGACGGCAAGCGGGCCTCGAAATGCTGGGGTCCCTTAGAGTTCCTGCTTCCAGCGCCACTTTTTGGGTCAACTGAATGGAAGTTTGTGTTTTACGAGGTGATGCCCAAGCGAGATAGACAGGAAGCCCAGAAGTGCGAGGTTTTCTGTTGTTCTATTAGCAAGGTTCAGAAAGTTTCGATTAGGCAATTGGAGGGCACATTTTGATACCACCGAGCGACAAGCAAAGAAGGCGGTAGCAAAGCATTGCCCACAGCTCTTTTCAACTTCTCGGCGACATTCACCTATGACAATCGACGCTATCCATGTAGCAGGAACACGTTTGAATCATTTGCCCAGTGTTGCTGAAGCTGGGCGTTTGCGTTTCTTTTGCTGCCGTTCCCTCGGGCACACATATTCCAAGGACTGCTTGTTCAGGTCCTTGCAGGAAGTTGTTCTCAGGTCCATTTCGGAAATCCCTACTCAGAACAAGCAAGGACATGCCCCGGGAAGATCTGATCGCACAAACATATAGCCACGAAGCACGGGATAGGGAAGGACGAAGCAAAACAAAGCCAAAGCCAACATCCTTCGTTCTGGAGCTGTGGCCTTCACCTTTTGAGCGCTCACTGTTCCCAAAAACGGCAGGGATGCCCCAGACTTTAGGAAGCGGGAACCAGTTGCGACCGTGACAATGTCCCTTGGCCCATTGAGATCGAGTGTTTGCTTGGAAAGGGCGCCCTTAGGGTTGCCAGGAGATGAAGTCTGGGGATTGGATCTGCCCCAACTGCGGGGACCTGGTCTTCGCGAGGCGTGCGGGGCGCGGGACGGCGGAACCTGGAAGTTTTTGTTTTTGGTTTTTCACTTTCGAAGATTTCCGTGGCCAATGCTGTAAGCAGGCAAAGAAGGGCCAAGCTTTACGTAAGCTTTGCGCAGGTTTTGGGGCTCCTTGGGTCGCCAAAGGGAGACCGGAGCGATTGGAGCTTCTTGGGTCCCATGTGGAGACAAAGTCTTTCAAAGTCCGGCCTATGAGAATTCCCTCAATGCTTGAGGGCCCAGCCGCCGCCAAGAAGCAGCTTTGGGTCACTGATCTCGAGTCTGACTTGATGTGCAGCATGGAGCCCGAAAAAGCGGGCCCCGTAAAAAAATACGCCCCCAAAGAGGAGGCTCCGATGTGCAGAGCTGAAGCTGAACGAGCTAGGTCCAAATTGTCCGTTGGATTTTATTAAAAAAAACAACAACAACAAAAACCAAAAAAAACAACAAACAACTGAAAGCACCAAACCCTGAGAGCGTCAATTGATCCATGTCAACCCTGGCCCTTGCGGATTCCATAGGAATAGCCACTGCCGGCGCTGCGATACTGCGCGGCCGGACTTCGAGCCCGGATGCTCAGGGGAAAAAGGACTGCCTTGGAGATATATGACCAGGTCCTTGTGAGAGGAAAAGGCCTCAAGTGCCTCCCCTCCCCTGCCCTCTCTTTCCTCCCTCTCTTCTCAGCTCCAAAGCTTCAACTTGATTGGCACGTAGACCTCATGTGCCAAGCGCCTGAGCCGAGGCATGCGATGCCAGGTGGGCGGGATATTTTGTGGCTTGGGGTTACCATCCAGGGTGACTTGCCTGACCTGATTCACCAGCCGTTTTCTGTTCGATCCATGAAGCTGTAGGCGTGAAATATTGAAACTGGGGGCTGTCTATTCTTGGTTGTCCTTTGATGTGACCTTAAACCTTGCTTGTGGAAGATAGCTTCTCGTGGTCACTTAGACTACAGCACTTGGGTGGCTTCGAGTCATGCATGCCATCCTGGGTCTTTCTCTTCGGGTTGCAACTCGATTTCCTGAGAAACAACGCTCTTTGGAGACAAGTCCTTTTGAAATGAGTGTTGGAAACAAACCTTGTGAGGTTTCTCGAGGCCTCCTTTTGGTTGAGTCGGTTGGACACACAGCGCACACAGCGCGCGGGCTTCAGATCTTTGCCGCCAGGTTTCCCGCCAGGCTCATCGTGGGGATTGGATCACCGAGATCCTGGGAAGCCACCGAAACGGTCCAGAAACTTCGGCAAACGCCGAAGGTGATTCGAGGTTGGCGAAACAAGCTCAGAAGCTTGGAGGGTATCCACCAATGAGCAAATCAAATAGACACCAGCTAGCACCTCGCAATGCAGCAACATCGACATAGTCGCCCATTGCCATGCAGGTCGCACTTCCACATCTTTCATGGCCCGTTTTGACACGTGCCATGATCTTTGCGTGGGCATGGGGATTCCACTGCAGGACATAGAGACATGGTGCAGCGCCTAGAACCCGGCTTGAGAGCCCAGTCCAAACGGAGTGGCCATGGCAGACATGGACTGTCGACACGTCTCGGACTCTCCAAATTGGAGACTTGAGAGCCAAAGCCAACCGTTCACTGCATGTTCGGCTCCGAAGCCACCAGATTGGTTTCCTTTTGCTTCCCGAACACCTTTGTATCAACAGATCCCACCTTTTTCGACTCTGGCACTTTGCAAGCCAGGCTTCCCTGGCTTCCCTGGCTTTCCAGGCGCGGTGCAGTTGATTCCCGAAACTGATGCTATGTTTCTCCCAATGGTGGACCTCCTTTTGGCTGGTAGTTTTAGGGAAACCGAAAAAGAAACTGCCCATTCCGTGAGAATCGAGTGAAGAAAGACAGGAATCGTGCGATCGCAGGTTATCCGGGGTACTACCCTTGGTGGCCGGGCCAGATGCTCAGAGTGCAACACCGAGTGGTTCCGGGTCGTTCCAACGAAACTGAGCCAATCGCAGCTGATTTTTAACCAGGTCTGTTTGAGCACTTTTGAAGTGGCATCTTTGCAGTTGACAAAACCCCTCCGGCTTTCAGGTTTTTCGTTGGTTTAGTGGGGCTTTCCATTCAACCCACCAAAAGTCAAACTTGCAGGGGATCTGCGGACAGCCCAGCTTGATGGTTCCTTTGTTTCAACCGCCCACTGTTCGTGGATTGGCCTCTCGGAGGCTACCCGCCGCCGAGACCTGAGGCTTGGAACACGCCGAGTGTAAAGCCGAACCGACATTTGATGTAGAGGGTAGCTTGGGCACAAGCTGAGGGAGTTTTGGATGTTCCTGTGAATTCCCAAGAAGATGCTACAAGGGTGCTAAAAGAGTGCAAGATTTGGTGGGGCATCTTCTAGGCCAGCCAAATGTTCTGCTTTGTGGCTGGATTTTCAAGTGGTGCCCAGTTTGAGACAACCCCTCGAGTTGAGGGGCCTTTTCGACCTGATTTTGGGTCAGATGAACAAGATGCAAGGGTTTGAATGGGTTCACTACAGGCATATGACAAAGTCGTGCCTCCGGAGTAGGTGTTGTTAGATTTAGGTGCGGGGAAGCATGTCGAAGAAGTCGTGCCTTTCCGGGAAACGCATAGGAACTCTGATGGTGCACTGTGAGTGCTGCGTTTTGCTGTGTGATCAGTTGGGCTTGCGTTTACAGTGGGGTTCCAGACCTGGGCCCAGTAGGTCCTGAAAGCAGATGTGGGTTGCGTTTACATTGGGGTTCGGATTCCTGTGTTTATGCAGTTTTTCATTGGGTCGCCACCTTTCCATGTCCGGCGCTTCTATGTGCTGGGCTTGCTGGCGGCTGTGAGCCCAAAGAAGGTTCATTGCTCCAAAGCAGGCTGCTCCCAGAAGGTGTCTCTGGCAGATCGCTTCTGCGCGGCCTGCGGCGAGCCGAACACAGCTTTTTCAGAAGAGGCTGCTGAGCTAGTCCGATCTGGCCGAAGAAGTGGTTGGTACAAGCCGCCTGCTCCGGCCGCCGTTGTGCCAGAAAATGCAGCAGAAGAGAAGATGGAGCGGCGGCATGGGGGACCTACTTTCCAAGCTGCGGAAGCGGGGCAGCCAAGCGCAGCCTGCAGAGTCTGACGCGTCCGCTTCTGCACCAGCAGCTCAAGGACCAGCTGCCAAAGCTCTTGCGACTCCTGCTTCTGTGCCAGCGACTGTGCCAGGAACCTCTGCTGCTGCAGCTTCGGGTCATCAGCCCCCTGTGCGAACGGAGTGGGACCTTGACAATGAAGCAGACTGCATTGATTGGGTGCTGCAGTGCTTCAGCAGCGAGAAACGTGATGGCATGAAAGTGTTGGCCGAGTTTTTTGCGTCTTGGCTCAGAAGCAAGGCCAGCAAATCAGAGAAGCTCTCAGAAGTGTTTTACAAAAATGTGATTGGGCCTCAACTTCTCACAACTTTTAATTGGGCTGCCGTTCAACGGTACAACCGCGGCCTGCGGTTTGTTTCTCACCCGTCTGCAGTGTGGGAAAAAACAGTCCGAGGCAGATTTGATATGATCATTTGTTTTGGCATTCTGTGACATCTTGCGTTTCCATCGGCGAAAGCGCAATTTGACCAACCACCTCCCCACGATGCTGATTCACCTTTTGGACGGAAGGAGAACGTGAGTACAAGGCTTTGCGTTTGCATGGGGGGAAGGCGTTGCGCATGACCCAATCAACAAGAAAATTATGCCCTCCTCCTTGTCCCCTGGTTTGTGTGGCACAGGCTAAGTTTGTGTGGCGGTTACCTCTTGCGTTCACAGTGGGGAAAGAGTCGAAGGCAGGACTTCGGCATGACTTCTTGCATGGGCGTTTACAATGACAGAACCAGCCAGGCATGACTTAGGCATGACTTTGTCGTTCCCCTGTAGTAAACCCGCCGAAACCGCAGGGGCTTGTTTCAAGGCTTCCTGCGTCAGAGGCCCCCTCTGTTTTTGTCCTGTGTTTGATGCCACTTGTGCACCACATCTGCGGATCCAGTGACTTGGGGTAAGGCGTGCGGAGGCCTTCGAGGGTTCGACTTGTCTTCGAGCCCGCCAGTCAAGTTCCCCGTCCGAGTCCTCAGCGCGGGTGCCCGAAGTGAGCGCTGGGTTTTGCGATTGAAATATCAAAGTGGATATGAAATCCCCAGCCACCCAAAGAGTGTTTTTTGAGGTCACCCGTTTTATTGGCGGGAGAGCCGACGGAACACCTCCCATGTTTTGAGTCTTTTTTTGACACATGGGACTCCTCTTTGAATCACTTCCCGTTTTCTTAAGTTGGCAGCTTCTCGCAGGTGAGTGCTTGAGGGGGTGTGGTCGCTTTCTACCGCGATATTCGCCTTTGTGGAGTTGCTTTGCAGGAAAGCCAGGATTCCTTCTGCATTGCCCACCAAGCTTGTTAAGGGTACCCTATCTTGAGTTGCAAATGGATCCCCAACATTGCCAGACTTCGTTTTTTTTTTTTTTTTTTTTTTTTAACCTTTTTGCCTATGCGCTTTTCCACCATTTTCCCTTTCAACCAGCCAAAACAGGTAGCTTTGGGCGTTACTTGTAAGGGAGCTATACATTTTCAGGAGAGGGTAAGTTGTTGGCAAGTTGGTGCTCATGCGAGTCACAATCAAAGCCTTGTATTGAATTGGTCTGCCCAAAACCCAAGGGCGGCTGCTCCTATTTGTGGTTGAAGCAACTCCTTACTAAGCTTCATCTACCCAGGTTTTGAGTGTGACAATTGACGTCATGGTTTTGTCGAAAGGCGGCGCTTGCACCAATCTGGTCTTCCAAACTGTCGTTGGCTTTCCTAAATATTTCGATAATTCTCATCGTCGTGTGTAGCGCTTGACTCTTCAGTTGGCTTGCTGAGGTTTGCTGAGGGAGTTTTGTGTTTTGCTCCCTGCAAGGATTCCTCCTCCAGCAGCGAGGAGGACCGATGCCTTTTGTTTTGTTCCAACGATATTGGTATGAGTGAAGAAGAGGGACTCCCCCAAAATGGTGGCGTTCCTTCTTTAAACCAACCTGAACAAAGTTACCCTCACCAAACACATTCCCAAATGATACTTCCTTACAATTGAAGATCGCCTTTCCTCATGGCCATCCCACAGTGGTAGGCTGGGTGCCACATCCACTTTCGCACAGCCGCACATGTTGCACTTGTAAATTGCGCAACAGTTTGGAGGGCAAACGCAACATTAGATTTGATGTGAGATATGTTTTTAACGGCGTTATTCCGCAATATTTGCTCTCTATAGGTTTGTCTCCAAGAGCCTTTAAATAGGTGGTTTCCGTTTGGATTTCATATTCACACTCCCAACAAGGCCGTGTTTGAGCCTAAGCAAAAAACACGATTTGTCATTTGATCCGGTTCTCCGGATCGGCCACTTGGGGAGCTGAGCTTGCCTGTCACGAGTCCCACTTAGTTTCGCCTTGGGTTTCTATTTCAAGCAACCCCAAGCATGAGCCTGCCTCAAAAAGTAACACCATTTTTGGAAAGGACACCAACCACATGTCCCTGATTTTGAACTCAAACCCCCCACACGGATTCACCTCCAGGAAACGAACCGCCTGGAGTCCCAAACAGGAGATGCGCCGAAGGGCGGCTAAGAAGGCCAAGCTCCTGGGGCGTGAGGCGCCACCCCGAGATTTGGACGTGGGTGGTCTCAGATCTCCCCTCGGTTTCCTTTTAAGAAAACACCTGAAAAAACAGCAATGTACATAGATCAACAAGGGGATTGCAATGTGAAAACAACACCTCGGGTGACATGTCAAGCCAGTTTCTGATCACGAGTCGGGGTCGCGCATTGAACCAGGCACCTTTGAAACCAACCAGGATTGTTGACGCGTGCTTGACCAGCGCGGAGATCCAATCTGCCAGCTTAGAACAAATCCGGAGGGACCATACCAGTTCCAGGAATCCTTCTAAAGCGGCGCAATTCCCTGCTGAACTTCTACCAAGGCACCTGGTTTCGTGAGCCAAGAACAAAATAATTGGCCAACGTTGTTCTTGGGATTATCAACTATGAACCATGGATTTGAGTTATTAAGTTATGCTCACCAGGATTGAGGGAACCATACGTGCCATGATGGCCAAGATCTTTCACCTAAAATTAACATCGATTAACAACGGAGCTCTGAAGATTGGAACCCCGGAGGCGTTGAGAAGAAGAGAGGACGGGAGAAGGGGCCACGAGTCGCTCAAATCGCACCTGAAACCAGCAGATTTCACCGGAAAGAGCGAGAGAGAGAGAGAGAGAGAGTCTCCACTGAGAAAGTAGAGCACTTGGCTCGAGGAGAGGCGGAGAAGGGAGAAGAAGAAGGACAAAATGAAGTCGAAGGCTCGGATGCCTTGCGCCAAGGTCGCGTTCGGTCGGCCGGATTGGCAGGACAGTGGATCCGAGAGCTCAGAAGACGCAGGGAAGAAAAAGAAGAAGGCCGGGAAGCTGGCAAGACTGAGACATGCTTCTGCCCTCTCTTCCTCTATCGTTTCCAGGGTCCAAGGAAACTTGGCTGGGGCCGTAGCATGTTTCATGCTGACAGGACAGTGACTCGGCAAGCGAGAGCGCTGCGAAGGTCAAGCGAAAGAAGAAGGCATGGCATCGGATAAATTTCTGCCGGGGTGGGCTGAAGCAACTCCAGCAAAACGCGGCCAAAAAGCAAACCATGATGGGGCTCTGTAAGTGAACCATGACCACCCACAGAAGTCTCAGCCACTTTAAGGTGCCCCCCCTGCGGACCTTGAGAAGGGCTGATCAAAATTCAGGCAAAGGACTCCAGCGAGAGTTCCAAGAAGAGGCGGGCCTTGCGGGACCGGTAGCGTTTTCTTTCCGTCCGTTTCTGTGTCTGTCTTCTTCGAATAGACAGGTCAAAATGGCGGCTGCCGGGTGATTGTTCGTCTGGAAGCCTTTGCTTTCCACTTCTACGTGTGGTGGTTGAGTCACATATTTCATTTGAGGGAAATCTAAATCATTTTGGTTTCCTTTGGGCTTGGCAGTCACTCCGACTGGCGCCTCCTTGACTTGATCCAATAGGAAAGGCTCTGATTGTTGATGTCGTCACTCTACTTTGGTTCTAAATGTTTACATTTGTTTCCCGATTCGTCCTGGACTGCAGAACCAGCCAACACCTCGATTTGTCGCAGGTCAAATAGGTTTCTCGAAATAGTATCAGGAGTGTTCCATTTTCTTAGGGCATGATATCGAATTTGAGGGCATTATATTTTGGAGCAACCTTTCGCCCATCCGAAATTGACATTGTTGCCTTACGGCAATGGTGGATTTTGTGTTTGTCAGATGCAAAATTAATGGGGGCCCAAGTTTACTGACTGAGCCTTTGCAACTGGGCAAATGGGACGTAAAGATTTGGCCAGCGAAAGGTTGGGGTGAGTAGCCGGAAGTTCAGGTTTTTGATGGTCATTGTTAGGATGCTTGCATGTCAGATCCATGGCTTCCCCGAAGAGCGATGTTGGGAATGACCTTTGATGGTAACTCACAGGACCCGTTGTTCGGCCTAGGGGCTTTGTGCGTCTGGATGTTTTTTGAGGGAGCCATCGGGCTTTGTTTAAGCGGCTAAAAGGAATCCATCCTTTTCCACCTCATCCTTTTTGTTCCATGTGGAGACACACTCATTTGCATGTTTCTTTGAACAGATGCCCGCTCGAAGGAAGGAGAAGCGGAAGGCAGGGAGTTGAGTGGAGGGGCAGCTGTGCATTCCCTGGGGGAAGATACGGGGGAAAAACCTTGGCTTGGCGCTTGGTTTTTAGTGGGAATCGGGACCGCAAATCCTCCAAAAGGTGCCTGATAATTCTGACGCTCGTGAGCACCGATGTCACTAAAAGGCAAAAGGAAGCTGTTCAAAGAATGGTTAAGACACGCTTGAACAAGGGGGTTGGCTCCGCCTGAATGTGTTTCAACTATGGTCAGGAAGTGCCGCGGTTTGATGCGCTTAGCCACAGGAGAAAGCAAAGAAGAAGGCCTCAGACAGCACAGAGGTGACCAAAAAGACGGGCAAAAAGAAGCGAGGGTCGGATGACAGCACAAAGAATGGCGCCAAGAAGAAGAAGAAACAGGAGAAACGGTCATCGGATGAGGACAGTAGCAGCAAGGACTGGAAGAAGAAGGCCAAAAAGAAGAAAACCTCAGAGGCCGAGGAGAGTTCGGATGAAGATGGCAAGCAGAAGAAGCAGAGGCAGAAGAAGCAGAAGGAAGAAAAGATGTGGCCCGGACGCAGAGCTGAGCATCAGTGCGAGGTTGTTTCCTGGGGCGGTATGGGGAGCCGAGCGCCAAGGAAGAAAGCAAACCAGAAGCGCAAGGACGAGAGCGGCTCCAAGCCTCTAAACATGATGACCCCTCAAGGATAGACATTTGGCTAGGTCTCATCTGGTTTCGCCTTTCAGACACCCTTTTCTTTGCACTTGTGGCCCGATGAGCCCCCGCTAAAAAAACAGCAAGCATTCTAGGTGGTTCTGTGCTCCACAGTTTTGCGCTTTGTAAGACCAAATGCCTGACAGTCGCAGGACAAGGCGAAGTTGGCAAAGAAAGCAAAGGAGAGCTTCGGCAGACTCTGGATACTTCTTTGTAGGGGCTGCAGCCTGCGAGCGAACTGCAAGCACAACAGATTCCAGCATTAATGTGCGAGCAATGTCTAATTTGGATATGCCTGAACTTCACATTTGTTCACCTGGGAGAAAGACGAGCCACGCAGCTTACATGTGACTCTCTTTCCAACAATCAGAGAGATTGCTGGGAGGGTTTTTGAAGACTACCATCTTCTTGCAGAGGCCTTTGTTTGCTTCCATGATAGGGGACCACAGATTTCGTAGCTGTCGTTTTCTACAAACTGGAGGTTGGAGGAAACCTATTGTTGAGGCACAGCCCCAGGTAGTCTTGTTTCTCAAGTCAAGCGCGCTGCCGGCCAAGGAAGCAATCTGCAAGCGACAAGGACGATGCATGTTCGTTCGATAGGTTCGATCGAAATTTGTCTATGATCAATTTGGGGAGGGATATGGGGGACTCACTCAATTTCCCATGTCCTCTGCCATGCCCACTTGGGGAAGCAAGCAGTTTTGACTGTTACTCGGGCTGCTCATTAACATTTGCCCAGGAGAAGAATACGAAGGCTGGATCGCTGCCAGTCGATCACGGGCAGGGTCCATTTCCAATGTGGCTGAATCAGCACGGTTTCCCAGACCCTTGCGAAGGAACACATGTCGGTGAAGCCTCAAACATGTTTTTTGGACACCAGTCCTTGTCTTTGAGATCACACCATTTTGCGAGCACATCAACAAGCAGATGAACCATTTCGGTTTTAGCCAAAAGCGAAAGGCAAAGAAGACGGCCTCTTCCAAAGGCCAGCTGCTGGGTGGGAGCTGGGAATGAGGACCGGTCGGCAGCAGGAAGTTTGAAAGGGACACGGAGATGTGTGTGTTTGTTTTCAGGGGACCCCAACAAATGGCTGGTTTCCTTTGGCTTCCCCAAACACCTGACTAAAAGGCAGGTTGGTTTGAAGGACACCAAAACGATAACCGAAGCCCATTTTGTGGTATCCCTATTTTGACACGCACCCAAACCAAGGTGGATTTGATGCGGAGCGACTTTCCGTGTGCCAGGTTCGTTTTTGAGTGCTTTGCGTTGACAGAGCCCAAGCCTGAGGGTATCCTACGACGGCTTTTCTTCGCCACTCTGGAAGTTCAAGTCTTTGTTTGGAGAATTTCCGGACCTGTACCTCTTTGGGAGCTAAAGCTTTGGGCGGATAATGTACCACGTGAGCTTTGTGCGCAACGCGGAGCAGTGCAGCTTCATGAAGGTCTTTGGTTTGATGTGAGTGCAAACAACCGGCAGTAAACCATGTTTTGCTCTCTCAAGAGTCGCTTTGGACATATGCTGAGAGATATGTTAATTCTATGATTGAGAGTGTATATGAATACTGGACGGTAAACCGTACTGGGAGTCGCTCTGGACATATGCAAGGTTGGCAGTGGGACGGTCTGTTTTGGTAGCCCTCAAAATCAGTGGTTTTCCTTCTGATTTCCCTTTAAACTACCACGCAGAAGGGTTTTGTAACTCCAAAAACGGACACCCAAGCGACACTTTGTGTCAGGCGATGAGGGAAGCGCAAGCCCTCCAAAGCAGCCAAGGCACGGGTTTGCAGGGTTCTGAGCAACAAATCGAGCACATGCACTTGCAGATGGGCCCGAGCGGGCACAGTACTCTTCGCGGCACAGCACTACATGCGTGCACAGCACCGCACGCTTACCCGCATCCATGCGCACGCAAACAAGCCCACACACAGACGCAGAGTCTTGTCGGGGAAACAAGCGCATGGTCTTTTTCCCATTACCCCTCGCACACGCTCAGAGATGCCAATGTGCGTGCATGTGAAAGGACTGGGAGCTCATCCTGATGTCTTGCAGCCAGCGCCTACAAGCGCCAGTGCCATTTGTCGTGCGGACCTCAGGACAGCTGATGCACACACGTTTGTGTTTGTTGGTGTTTGTGGGTGGCCAGATCGCCTTCCCATCCCAAGAAACACGTTTCCTCCAAGCTCAAGTGGCTGAACCAACCGGGTCACTCCATCCCAAGAGTTGTTCCAGCGCCTTGAACAATCCCCCAAAAAGGTGGCCCATTTTGGTTGGAACCTTAAAATTGGCCTATGGAACAAGCAAACTCGCAGACCAATGGCATTCCATCGCACAATCTGACAACAAAGAACGTTGATGGAGTGTCACACCTCGTCAGCAAAAGCAGCTTTGGGAGCACTGACGCAGTCTCGGCCTTTCCATCGAGGCAAGAGTCTGAGAGCGCCGCATCGTGCGGGGAGTGAAGGAAAAGAACTTTCGTGGCTCGCATTTGAAAACCAGCTGATGGCTCCAATGTCGGACATGGGGTCTTTGGGATTTGTGGAGTCTTGGGGACCAAGGAACAAGGCCCACCCAGACGTCTTTGGGACCTTCGGTGTTTCGCCGAGCAACACTCCGCAGTCGGACATTTCAATGCTTTCCATTGTGTTCTGTCTCTGTCTCTCTGTGTCTGTCTCTGTGTTTGTCTCTGTGTTCTGTGTGTGTCTCTGTGTGTGTCTCTGTGTCTCTCTGTTCCTCTCTGTGCGTGTGTCTCTGTCTTGTCTCGTCTCTGTGTGGGTCTCTGTGTTTGTGTGTGTGTCTCTGTGTGTGTGTGTATCTCTCCATCTCTCTTTCTTTGTGTCTCTCTGTCTCTCTCTGTCTCCGTGTCTCCGTGTCTCCGTGTCTCCGTGTCTCCGTGTCTCCGTGTCTCCGTGTCTCCGTGTCTCCGTGTCTCCGTGTCTCCGTGTCTCCGTGTCTCCGTGTCTCCGTGTCTCCGTGTCTCCGTGTCTCCGTCTCCGTGTCCGTGTCTCCGTGTCTCCGTGTCTCCGTGTCTCCGTGTCTCCGTGTCTCCGTGTCTCCGTGTCTCCGTGTCTCCGTCTCCGTCTCCGTCTCCGTGTCCTCCGTGTCGTCCGTGTCTCCGTGTCTCCGTGTCTCTCCGTGTCTCGTGTCTCGTGTCTCCGTGTCTCCGTGTCTCCGTGTCTCCGTGTCTCCGTGTCTCCGTGTCTCCGTGTCTCCGTGTCTCCGTGTCTCCGTGTCTCCGTGTCTCCGTGTCTCCGTGTCCGTGTCTCTCCGTGTCTCCGTGTCTCCGTGTCTCGTGTCTCGTGTCTCGTGTCTCCGTGTCTCCGGTGTCTCCGTGTCTCCGTGTCTCCGTGTCTCCGTGTCTCCGTGTCTCCGTGTCTCCGTGTCTCCGTGTCTCCGTGTCTCCGTGTCTCCGTGTCTCCGTGTCTCCGTGTCTCCGTGTCTCCGTGTCTCCGTGTCTCCGTGTCTCCGCTCGTTGTCTCCGTGTCTCCGCTCGTTGTCTCCGTGTCTCCGCTCGTTGTCTCCGTGTCTCCGCTCGTTGTCTCCGTGTCTCCGCTCGTTGCCGTGTCTCCGCTCGTTGCCGTGTCTCCGCTCGTTGTCTCCGTGTCTCCGTGTCTCCGTGTCTCCGTGTCTCCGTGTCTCCGTGTCTCCGTGTCTCCGTGTCTCCGTGTCTCCGTGTCTCCGTGTCTCCGTGTCTCCGTGTCTCCGTGTCTCCGTGTCTCCGTGTCTCCCCGTGTCTCCGTGTCTCCGTGTCTCCGTGTCTCCGTGTCTCCGTGTCTCCGTGTCTCCGTGTCTCCGTGTCTCTGTGTCTCTGTGTCTCTGTGTCTCTGTGTCTCTGTGTCTCTGTGTCTCTGTGTCTCTGTGTCTCTGTGTCTCTCCGCTCGTTGTCTCCGTGTCTCCGCTCGTTGTCTCCGTGTCTCCGCTCGTTGTCTCCGTGTCTCCGCTCGTTGTCTCCGTGTCTCCGCTCGTTGTCTCCGTGTCTCCGCTCGTTGTCTCCGTGTCTCCGCTCGTTGTCTCCGTGTCTCCGTGTCTTCCGTGTCTCCGTGTCTTCCGTGTCTCCGTGTCTCCGTGTCTTCCGTGTCTCCGTGTCTCCGTGTCTCCGTGTCTCCGTGTCTCCGTGTCTCCGTGTCTCCGTGTCTCCGTGTCTCCGTGTCTCCGTGTCTCCGTGTCTCCTCCGTGTCTCCGTGTCTCCGTGTCTCCGTGTCTCCGTGTCTCCGTGTCTCCGTGTCTCCGTGTCTCCGTGTCTCCGTGTCTCCGTGTCTCCGTGTCTCCGTGTCTCCGTGTCTCCGTGTCTCCGTGTCTCCCGCTCTCCGTGTGTGTCTCCCTCCGTGTATGTCTCCCTCCGTGTGTGGCTCCCTCCGTGCATGGCTCCCTCCGTGCGTGGCTCCCTCCGTGCATGTCCCCCTCCGTGTGTGTCTCTCTCCGTGCGTGTCTCCCTCTCTCCCTCCGTGTGTGTCTGTGTATGTTTTTTGTTTTTGTTTTCTTTAGAAAACTTAAATAACTTGAAATATACCTATATTTTTATATATTATAGGATATTAAATATATAATTATATATATTAAAATAATGTTATAGAATGAATTAAAATAATGATTTTTGAATTTGTATTTATATATATATAAATTATTATTTAGATGTAAAAAATATTGTTTAATATTTTTCGTTTTTACATATTATTTTATTACACGAATATTGTAAAGCATATATAAAACAAATATTAAAATGTAAATATAAATTTTTATAAAATTAATATTTAAATAAATTTTTGTTTTTTTAAAATTAATTATTTTTTAATTTATTTAGGAATGTATTTGGGTTAAATATTTAAAAATATTTTTTTATAAACTTATAATATAAGTAAATTATTTTTTGGGATTGTAATAATTTTAATTTTAGTTTATTAAATTTTATTTATATAAACTATATTTTTATATATTAAGCTATATAATATTAATTATATATAATTAAATTTTAATTATATTATAAATAAATTATAAACAAATAACATTAAAAAAACATATATATAAATATATTAAAAAATAAAAATAAATAATTCTATAAATAATTAAATTATATTAAAAACAAAAAACAAAAAATATTTTAATTTACCAAATTATAAAAAATATTTTTTTTATATATCCATTATTACGATTTTTTTTAAATATTAAATTAAATTATTCTTTTTATAATTTTCTTTACACTTATCAAAATTTCAAATATCAAACAAAAAATCATATATATCAAAAAAAACGTAATATTTAGCTTTCATCTTTTATTCAAAAATTCTATATTAACATATTCCTTTATACTAATTCAAATTATATTCCATTTTCGTATAAATAATAATAACTTCAAAAAAATAACCAAATTTTAAACATCTTTCTTAAATATTTTCGGTCTATGGGCTTAGAATCTATCGCCTTTCAATATTTTAGTCGTGTTTTCCATTCATTATATACAAACAAGCAACTATTAAAAATACTAGACGAAATAATCACCTTTTTAAAACACCGTAAAATGCCCGTACGTATTAACATATTGATTGCATTCGTGCAAGCTTTGTTAGTCGTAAAGAGACCCCCCAGTCATTGCTTATATATACGGGCTATTTTCAAGGCAATTTTCAATTCCTCTTGGGTTCCATGTCAATTTGTGGGGGGGCATTTGGAGAAAGGCTGCGTTGCCCAATAACTAGCTGTTCCATTCCAACCGATTGGAGTTGGGACGAGAAAAGGGCCGGGCGGTCCGATGATGGTTCCTCGCACATGTCGACCAAAAAAGACACCTATGTTTTAGCCGTTTTTTCCCCCCTCAATTCAGACTTGCGCCAAGGGGGACGCGGCAGGACCGGGACAGAGGGAGTGCGCTTTCCGTTGTTTGCCGACGTGGTTTGCAGGTCGAACAGGGCAATACAGATAATATTTCATTAGATACCAACTACGCCATAACGCAATACAATGCGTCCTCCGCTCTACTATGCAAGGGCGAAATTTCGCAAACGTTGCCCTGTTGCTCTGTCGCAATCGCCAAACTGCGGGATAGCCTGCAAGGATGCAACATTTTGGGCTCGGTCAAATCAAGGATCTGGGATCAAAGTACCCATTCCCTTTGGTTTCCTTTTGGGAATGGTTACAACATGGGCTATTTAGCACTCGACAACAACACGCTGACACATGTGGACAGGCCGAACATTTTGTAGAACAAGAAACTGCATTCTGGGTAGAGTACACGTGCGGGGAAAAGAAGGACACGCATGGGACGGCCAAAGAGCTCTTGAATGCGACGCGTGGGCCGTCTTTTTCCTTGCAGAGCCAAAAACGCCTGCTTGCTGAGCCGCCTTGTTATTTCGTCATAGGGGAGGGACGCGAGGTCCCACAATAAGGCATCGTCAGTATGCATCAACGCGCACCAGCTGTTCAAAACAATGCCTTTAAGCTTTTGCGACACAGCCGAGGTCCACCGGCCTACCTGTGAAAGCCAAGCTTTGCCAAAGCACGTATTAAATTTTCTTCCGTGCCTCTCAAGCTTAAAGCTGTCCACTCCATCTCAATTCACAGGAACTGGCTCAAGTTCTTCTGATGTTCTGAAGCAATCGCATCCCGCTAACTGTTTTTCCTCTCATCCACCGGGAGCAGTCGAACGGGCCCCCACTTTTGCGTGTCTGTACGGCCCGTGCCCGCATACTCAAGTCGTGTCAAGAGAAGTGGCGGCATTGCTACACCAAAGTTAGTCAACCGAGCACCGAACAAAAAACGAAGATTTTGGGACTTGGGGACCCCTTTGTTGGACGTCAACATGCTTTTTGCATTCCGCAACGTCGAAATCCATCGCGCTTGGCCGCGGGCTACCTGGCTCCTGAGGCAGGGGCCCCGCTGGCGCCAGTCTCGTGCCTTCAAAAATCGGAGCAGCATAGCTGCGCGAAGGACGATGTGTTGTTGCCTCAAAGAATCTAAGACCTGATAGGAGGGGCCAAGGTGTAAGTTGTGTGGGAATCGCTGAGGTCAGTTGGATCAAACCAAAAGGAATCGCTGTTTGCTCCGAAGGAAACACACCCAGAAAGCGACAGCCTGCTGCAAATCAACATGAAGCCGTGGGTGTCGCTTTTGATCGTATGTGATGCATGGGTTCGCAGTCAAGTATAGACCGTTGTTGGCTCATACCTGTTTTCCAAGCACGCCAAGCACGGGCGCTGACCTGGATGCATCTTAATAGATTCTTCACGCAAGTCCACAAACGGGAATCAAGTTGATCTGTTTTCAGCGCGAATTGGCTCATAAGATTCCATCCGGGCATGTTGGAGGCAACACGGTTGGGTTACAGTAGATTTCAGGTGTCATCTGCCATGATGCTCAAGTATCCACATCGCTCTTCTTTTTCATGCCCTCCTTATGGCTGTGACGCGAGCTGACCCTGACAGTGACAAACCAGACCCCGAGGCTGTGACAGACCAGAGCCCAAAGCCCCCACACTTGGCCTGGGCCCGACCCCGACAGGCAACAGACCATGTGAACACACGAGACAATCGGGTTAGCGTTGTGCGGCCGGAGCATGATCCATCTACTCATTCGCTCACCGGTGCGCAGACTGACCACCCTATGATTTGCCACCCATGCTTGCATTGGAGCATATCCAGCTTGAGCTTTCACCACGAGCGACGTGCAGGATCGGCAACCAGCACCGCGCACCTTGGGACATTGAAGCCTTTTACGGTGTAGTGAGCAAAGCGAAAACGTTGCGCAAATGAAATAAGAGTGCGGATAGGTTGAAGTTAAGTTATCTTGAACGCACCCATTTTGCGGGGTTGCTTTCAATTGAAATCAAGCTCAAGACTCTTCACATCGCCATCGCCCGGGACCGGAGGTGCTGTGAGGAACCCGTTTGTTCTTTGCGCCGGGTTGAAGGGCCCACAAGGGGGTCCTTCAACCATTTGGTCAAAGCTGATATTTTCAAGACTTGGACGCAGACCACAAAACTGACAAAGCGCCGCCACACTTGCAGGTGATGGATGACATGTCCTTGAATCTGATCATGAACCTAACAATTTGATGATGCATTGAATGTGTCATAAGGGGATTAGGTCCTTTTTCTTGGTAGCACCTTCAAATCAGCCAGGGTGTAAAATGGATCCAGGCTTCCCCTCGCCACCACTCATGGTCCAGAAAAATGTTCCGAGAGCGCAAAGCTGCGGCCACTCTGACTTTTGGATTGCGATGGTCTATTCAGTTGCTCGGTGATCCGAACAGAAGACCGCGACTTGACACCATTTCTTCTTGGGGTTGATCATTTTTGGCAGGTCCCGAACCTCCCAAACAAAACGCATTGAACAAGGGTAGACTTCGCGGGGTCTTCTTGTTTGCTTTCTTGTTTGTTTATTTGTTTGCTTGCTTGTTTATTTGCTTGCTCGTTTGCTTGTCTGTTTGTCTCTCTGCCTGTCTGCTTATTTGTGCACCTCTCTGTCTGTGAGTCTGCTTGTCTGCCTGCCTGCCTGTGTGTCTGTCTTTTTCTTTGTTTGGCTGGTTGTTTCTTCGGTTGATTGGCTGGGCAACTGACGAATTCAATCCACTGAGCACTGAAAACGGGTCTCAGCGAATCGGCTCGCTAAGAACAAATTGCCGCGAGCCAAGTTTTGGGGCAATCCTGGATCCTCAATGGCAATACACACATATACACCCTGCTACATGCATTGTTTTCTTCTCTGACAGCAAAAGAAAAGAAGCAAAAAGCAAAGCTTTTGGACCCAACAAGCAACACCACCCAAAAGTAAAGCCTTCTGCACTTGAGGCGTTTTACTTTTTACTTCTCCCCACTAAAAGCAAAGCAGGTAAACGTGCCTCTTTTTACTTCAAGCAGTTCCAATTTGTACTTCTCGCAGGTTGAACAGTTTTGCTTGTTTACTTTCCTACTTTGTTTGGACACTGTAGCAACATGCTATATTTGGGAAACATACATAAGCAATCAGGTCAAACTTCTGGCCCCTCAACAAGTAAAGCGTAAAGCTCCCAACAGTACATCCGTTTTTGCTCCAGGCAGTTCTACTATTTCCCCCTTGCCAAGTGAACGCAAACCAACTAAAATTCCAAAATGATCTCTCTCCGTTTCTTACTTCACCCCACTGATCAATGAGGGGCATGAATCCTGAATCCCACTACAGGTATTTCGTTGTGCTTCTCTGATCCTCTATAGACTGCACGGTGCTCACAGAATCACACAGCTTGCGTTTTGTGCGCTTGAAGGACGGTGAAAACAAGGAAATTCCCTTGGCTCTGTCTTGTGATTTCGCATTTTTGCCTCCGAACCGGCACCTCAGTTGCGAGGCTCCGCAAATTTCATGTTGGTCAAAGTTCAGCCCTTGGAACTTGAGACAATTCTAACGTTTTCTACAATAATCTTGCAGTCTGGCTGTCTCCCCACCAGTGGTGGGAAAGAGGGAACCCTTTTTGAATACTTTTCTGGAGGGAACCCACTCCCAGAAATGGGTCTTACTGGAGGTCTAGGTCTCAGGTGCAAACCGTTAAGCCATCGATTTTGCCAAAAGGGGGTCCAGGTCTCGAGAATCTGCTGCTTGGCAGCAAATTCCGGGCGCACAGCCAGAGTACGTCTTCAGCCTGCAGCCACCTACTTCTAGAGGCATCCTTTTGCAAACCAAATCCTTTTCCCCTAGGTATTTAGCTGGCGTCTGCAAAGGGGGGGACTTGCCATGGTAAGTTCCCGGCTTCCTTCTCAGATCATTCTTTCCAAGGGGCAAATCCAGTGTCCAAATGAGCCCCTCATGTTCCACTTTTTGCAGGTCGCTTTCGGAGAGGCATTAGGTGAACAGATTCTGGTCAAACGACCACATGTCCCAACCCACTCGATCTCTGAATTGGCCAAGATGATGTTTAAAGCCAACGGCAGGCAGGGACCATTTCGTGAGCACAAGATTCCCCAGTTCCAAGCTCCCGGGCTTCCTAGACCCCACAAGATACCAACGGACGTAGATGCAAACAAATGAAACTCTGCAAGTAGTTGGCGCGTTCCCCCTTTGACTTCCTTCGAAAAGAGGCTCCCAACTCAAAGAACACACAGACAATTCAACGGCCCCTAGATTTCGAGCATTGCAAATGAAGCTTCCAGGGCTTCAGATCAATCAATCCGGCCAGCCCCGCGAAACGCCCCACGGCCAACATCTTGTCACACAGCTTTTCAAGCTTCGGGGCTATTTTCCATGCAAGGCACGTGGCCCCCATTATTAATTGAATCTTGATGAATACTCGCGGGCGGAGAACTCCAAACGGTTAAACGATCTCCGGCTCCGGCACTGGCTAGGCCTCGAGTTCAAGACGTATTGTCTGTCCAGCGAGTGGGGAACGGCTGGGGACGGTTGGCGCCCGATGTCCAGTTGCAACTGGTGGTTTTCAGTTTGCAGAACTGTCCGTTTGGGCATATCACCACTACAGTGGAATGCATCTGAGCCAAAATCAGAGCCTGGTACCAAATTGGTCTGCCCGAAACCATGTAAAGAATTAACAGGGTGGTCGCACCCATTGGTTCATTGGCTACCCGGGTTTCCTTTGCTCATGTGGCCTGAAAAAGCACCAGGAGTCACCTGGCAATCATTTGGCACGCAGTATCCAACAACAGGCCTGACAGGTGTTGCAACCAACATCACTATGATCGTGACCCCCAAGTGGCAGGTTTCAGGGAAATGGCACCACACTGTGACACCTGCAACAATGGTCGCCGTTTTAAACGACAGAGGCCCGCAGTGCTCGAGGAAATCGGGAAGGAACACGCTGGCCAATTCTGTGGCCAAATGGAGTGCCGGACAGCAAGCCATTCTTGAGAGGAAAGACATCCTGGGTGAAGTGGAATAAAGAAGCTGCTAAACTGAGGGTCTAGTTTCAAATGTCCAATGTAACATCCAATCTTGGCGAATTATACTGCGTAATTAAGCAATCAGCTTAAAATCAGAAAGGGCCTCGGAGGTTGCAAACACACTTTGCAGGGTCACTATAGTTCGCTCAGGTGCACTGCACACATTGAAAGCAAACCGGCTTAATAAATTCAGCCCGAGCTTGTCGAGTGCGGTCAAAGGCAGACCAACCAACCACCCGGGCTATGCTTGAGACATCCACAATGCCACTCTTCATGCGTGTCGAGGGCGCGCTCGAACTGTACCTTCATCACCCATTGGCCACCAAATAAAGATCTCCCTACCCTCCGGCCAACAAACGTGGAAGTGCACAAACCACTTTTGGAAGACTACCGACTTCTTGGATAGGGGAATGGTTGCTCAGTTTTGGAAGAAAGGTGGACCGCGGATGCTTGTGGCTAACCCCAGATGGCTGCTTGCGGCAACCCAGTGAAACATCATGCGCGTCGAACTGGGATGCCATGCGAGAGGTCGCAGTGAAAAGGCGACCCGAAACCAGCAGGCAATGGAAATCATGAAAGCTTGCTTCAAGCAGTGTTGCTCCCGTGGAGCAATGCGTACGATTCGTGAACCTCTGTGTCCTGCATACGTCTAGACATGTGCCATACACATATGCTTTGAGGAGAACTCCGCCAAGAGCGCTTGACTCCATGGTCAACAAGGCTGATATTGACATGAGCAATCACATGAATCACCAAAGCCTCTCAACACACAGGTGAATCGAGTTGCTTTGCTCCAACTCAACGCAAAAAAAATACACCACACCAACTTGTAGTGCGGCGTCGCAGACCAGAGAGACTACGAGAGTCCCTCAGAGTGACTCACCCGCTTGCGGGATCAGAATGCAAGCAGGAATGCCTCAGGATGGGCAAGACTTCAGCAGTTCCACGTTACGGCGAATGGATTGCGCTTTTGAAGTATGGTTTCGGGGTACTCCGCATCCCACACTTCACGGGGTGTACTTCCCACATATTCAGAAACCAAGCTGCAATGTTTGGTAGACTGCACTCCTTGGTTTGAGGAGTTCGGGGATTGCACCACTCAAAGGAGACAACAGTCCCTCGTTTCCACATTGAGACGGACCGTTTGAACGTAAACAGTAGAGAATGCATACTCAACCACTGCGAGCTTGGGCAGGAGCAGGGTCTTCTTTCGTCCCACTGACATATTGCTCCACCCCATGAAACATCGTGAAACTAAGACACCTCACGCGCATGTGGCCCAACAGGTGGAATTGAGCAAGGATATCTAATTGGAGTGGGCGAAGGAAGCAGCTGAAACTGCAGACTCGAAAGATATAACGCACTGAGGTTTCAAACAACAGTCATGCTTGTAGCGACTACAATCCAGTGACTGAGCTTTGCAACCGACATCAGAGTTGGGTGGGTCAAGCAAGGCAGGGCTTGTGGTTCAAAGTGGATGGCTGGAGCAAGCCTTGCCAAAGAATACATTTGTCCCCTTTTGGAATCAGGCAACGGGGAAGAAGCAGCCCAGCACAATGATGGAAAAGGGGGAAGACCAAACCCCCAAAGCCCCGAAACAGGACCTTCTCGCCACTGGGCAAACTGTGTCGTTTGGACTCAGACTAAGCTAACGCATGACTGCGGATTGCACGGGCAAGGACCCAGATCGGTCGAGTACCATGATTTGTCCAAGCAGGCCTGCGTCGCAAAGCTCGTGGGCCTGCTGCAGCGTCATGTCCCAAGGGGAAGTGTAGTGAGTTCCGCTTTTTCGAGACGCCCGCGGAAGATAGTCTGGTGATAAGGTTGCGTTCAGATTTAGCGACACATCTGTGCCACAGCGAATTTAACTCTGCAGGAATTCGCCCTCTGCCAAAACCTCGAGTCCCAGGTTCGCAGCTGGCTCCATGGCCAGTCGTCCATACGGAGCCCATGGCCTGCCGGCTGCACCTCCAGTCCTGCCGTCACCGCGTGTTGCGCAAACTCCGTGAAGGACTCAATCATGAGCACGCTGATGAGCTCAACAGCCACGCAAATTCCGGCATCCCGAAACCACGTTTGCACCTGGCACTCCGGAAAAAGGCCCTGTGCAGCAGAGTGGTGCGCAGGGGACCCTACCTTGGCAAGGCAAGTGATCTGGTGTGGGGCGCTGGCTCTCACCCCCTCGGCGCCTCATGCAGCACGCGGAGTCGGAGAAGCTGCGGCTCGTGCTGGCCACGCGAGAGGCGAGCTTTTCATCCCCTCATAAAGGAGTTGATGTCCTTTTCCCACCAGATCCTCAAAAATGGCTGATCTCCTGTTTCCTCTGAGCATCACACAAAAGGAGGTGCCCTCAATTGGTTGACACCCGCAGTCACTATGGGAACTTGGCGTTTTTCCAGACCGAAGGCTGTGCCAAACACTGTGCAGCGCCTGGCCGAATGCGAACAGAACTGGTGTTGTGAACGGAGGGAACTGGGACAGGAGGCGTTGCTTTTTTCCCCAAACCTGTTGATCTCCAGACATTTGGCCTGCTCTCAGTTCCAAAAACGGGGGATTCATATTTGGTGCAAGTCTCCGAGGTACCATGCCCCAAAAGGTAGAAAGGAAACCACCGACCCTCACCCCTAAGGTCCTTGAACCTAAGGCGTCTTAATCTGAGAGCATTGAGAGGACTCGCTTTTAAGCTCTCCTTGGTGGTCTGTCCATTTTCCAAGCGACTTCCCAAGCTTGTCATTTGCCACGGTTCATCTATGGGGTATGGCCGGACACATTTGGGCCACACCCTCCATCAGGCTACGGAAATCCGGGATCAGCTGATCTGTTTGGAGCCCTCGTGCAACTTGGTGCCACGTGTCAAAGTAGCTCCAGTATTTTAACATCAGAGTCGTCCCCACAAGTTAATCACGTCAAGAAGGGAACCGCTCCCCTCCCCCCGCGGCACAGGTCCTGGCACCAAAGCAAGCATTTCCATGCCCTAAGAGTGAGGGGTGTGAGGAAACCTAGGCTTCGCAAAGCTTCGACAAAGAGCCTAACGACAAAAACATGATGCCAACGGATTGATGAATCCCAGGTTGACTAGTCGGACATCCTGAAGACGGCATCCTTCCCTTTTGTTTATCGGGGGACACCCTCTCTCATGTATTCATCTTGGGTCTACATTCCGGGTGTGGATCAGTTGAAAGTGGCTCCCGAGACCCTGTCGGAAGACTTGGGGCCGTTTGCAGTGGTGTTCTGGGAGTTTCCATGGAGGAAACCACAAAAGAAGGCAAGGCTTCCTGAACAAAGAGCGAAAGGTGTTGAACAAACCAAGGTATGCATTTGAAGAGGCAAGGTCCCCAATTAAACTCATCAAGCCCCCGTCGCTCTTCTCAGAACCCGACACCCCCACTCCCCTTGCGCTCGCCTCGAGTCTGGGCTCCGGCTCAATCGCAAGGTCTGGCAGTGAGCCATCGATGAAGAAAACACACACTACCAGCTACTCATTCAGCTAGGAATTTCTTGAGATAGTGCATGCGGCTTCAAACCTGCTTGAGTGAACGCCTGAGTTCATCTTCAATTTGTTTGGCTTATTCTTGCATCTATCTGTGTGCATCGCTTTTTGCTTGGAATCAATTGTAAGTCCATCCGCTGCCTTCCAAATGACCTCAGACCCAAACCCCTGGCCGGTAGGTTTCCGCATGGGCCGGTGGATGCCAAGGGGACAGAGCATCCGAGCCTGGGGGAGATCTTTTTTGACGACACCCCAAACCAACCCCCTTTTCGCCCGAAGCCATGTTTCAGGGCTAAGATGGCTAAGGGAAGGGCCTCCCCGCCTGTGTGCGACTGCGTCTAAATTCCTGATGCAGGTCGGCCAGCTCTAGGGACCAGCTGCCCAGTTTCAACTGGCTTCGCCTGTCGAGAGGAGCTCTCTCAAAGGACTCGCTTTGGATTCTACGGGGGTCCAAAAAGCCCTGCAAGGGAAAACTTCATGCCCATCCGAAAACATCCTCCCGCCAAAAGGGAACGCCTTTCAGAAAACGTTTAAGCTGGCCAAAAGGGGACCCTGAAATACAGCTGTTGTAAGGACTTGTTGCAGTATGCATCCCATCTGAGCAACACATGGAACCTGCCGCAAGGAGGCTCCCTTGGACTATTTTCGTCCCCTTGAACCTTGGAGATAGATGGTAATGGATTCCAGAAACTGGTGTGGCATCCCTCACAAAGAGATGAGAGTCAATGTGCATTGCCTTGACACATCCCCCAAGCATTAACAGGCTTGTGGGAACGGGAGAGTGCGCCACATGTTCCTCGAGTAGCTGACAGACTGTATGCTGAACATAAGAATGTATGCTTGCAAGTTTGCCAGACACCGCAATCACATGTCTAATAAGTTTATGTAAGTAGGTACTGCACATAACGTATGTGCGACACAATGCACGTAGTGTATGTCATGCATGACATGTATGTATGTATGTATGTATGTATGTATGTATGTATGTATGTATGTATGTATGTATGTATGTATGTATGTATGTATGTATGTATGTATGTATGTATGTATGTATGTATGTATGTATGTATGTATGTATGTATGTATCTATGTATGTTTGTATGTATGTATGTATGTATGTATGTATGTATGTATGTATGTATGTATGTATGATGTCTATATATATACACACACATGCAAGTTACTTATGTAATGCATGCGATGTATGTTGTATGCACTTCAAACATCCAAAAGGGCTCCCAAACTTTTTGAGACCCCCAACCTGTCCTTTTGGCCCCAAACACCACCAGGTACGATGGAATGAAACAAGAGGTTTGGAGTTGGAAAAGCAGAGTCCCCCCTCGTCACTTCAGCATCCTTCAGCCCAAGCGACTTGGCATCTTCGGCCACTGCTCGCCTTGGAAGAAGCCGCCCTCTGAGATGTGTCATACCCCCTGGTCACAATTCCAGTTTTATATGGACCAAAACCGAATTGACATGGGAAGGGACAACTTCCGTTCGTTTGGCAAAACCGCCACTCTGAGTAACACTGGACCCAGGATGGAGTCTTTCTTCTGAAGTTTGAGTGGGAGCAACTGGACAGAAAGTAGCAAGAGGATCCACCCTATATACCTTTGGAGGAAGGAGAGGGTTCAATCCCATGTTGCCCACTTTTCCAACAACAACAACAACAACGAAACACCGGGCTACGCATCAAAACAAAGGGACATTTTTCCGCCCCAACCATTGGCACCCAAGCAAAGTGCAGAAAGTCTTTGGGAAGCCACGACCAGGCCCTTGAGCCCATCGTGCGGAGTTGCAATTGGAGCCCTTGACCATTGTCCGGTGATTTCTTTTTGCCCCAGATCGAAAAAAAAGAAATCCCTTGGCCCAACTCCACCGGCTTTGGGACTGCCTGGGAGTGGCTTTGCGTTTTGGAACCATCTGCATGGTCCATTTCCATAGAGGGCAATGTTGGCTTTCTTTAACGAACACCAAAACCGGTTGAAATCATCCTGATAGGGACCCCGGCGGGGTTTCGGAAATCCCTTCCATTTTCAGGCCTGGTCTTCACAGCAGCTCACTGTGGATGTGTCTCAAATTCAGGAACCTCTGGCGAATGTCCGTTTCGGTTCCCTGCCATCCTACCCTCCAACAGATTTAACTTGCAGAAAGTGAGAGCGGTCCGTAAGAAAAAAAGAGCACACATCCAGGGAGGGTAGAAAGGCGCCCTTTTCAGCTTGCTTGAACGGGAAACCAAAAAGAATACCCACCGAGCATGGCCCTAGCAAAAACCAAAAGAAGGATGGTGTTTCCCCTTGGGGCGGTTCACTGGATTTGCTGATTAGGCGCAGGCCTTTGATGTAGGAGACCCCAAGATGATTCGTGGCGGCCTCCCGCTCCCGCGAGATGAGCGGCGCCATCTGCTCTGCAAACCACTCCTCAGCTCGAATATGGCCACTCCGTAACTCATGGCCATGAACCATGGACCTGCAGTGGATGGACGCGCACCACCATCACCACCTAAGAATTCCCGGAATAACGATCTTCCTGTAAATATGCAGCCTGAGCCTACGGAACCCCTTGGCCTCAAGTACCACGTTTAGGAGTCACTCACATGGCACAGAGTTTGCTTGGTCGGGTTTTTGAAGAATTGTTCATATCTCTAGGGATTGCTGTGAGTTCTTGAGCTCGGCATGAATCTCACATTGCGGGGTTGACCCTTTCGTGGACATCTGCAATATGTGGATGCAAAGCTCTGTCCACCAGCAACAGGACCGCCCTTGGCGAATTATAGCTGTTTGCCTTTTGGTTCACTTGACAAACCATCCAAAAGAGGGTCCCCTATTCTTGGAAACGTTCGCATCTCTCAGAGCATCACAATCTGCCAGGGCTCGTCGATCAGAGAGCCTGGGCTTGCAAATTGTGGTGTGGGAGCAAGTTTGGCATGCACAGCCACTCACTTTGTCAGGTGAGTTTAGGCTGGCTGATTGGTCCGGGCTTCAGCATGGGCTAAGGCTGGTGGGGGCTGAATCTAAAAGTCACTTTCCTGGGCCGTCTCACAAAGATCTTCTTATGAAGCATTGCCTGTCAGTTTGCCAGGCAGCGGACAATTTTGCTCTATAGTGGACCCTGCCCCCCGCAAGCAGCCCAGTCATTTGGTGAAAGCACAAATGGGTGTGATACCTTTTGCGGGTTGGGGGGAGAAGTTCTTTGCGAAACCCATTTGGGGTTCTCAATATCAAGACACACCCACGTTGAAGAGATTCCGCATTTCGAGCAGCAAGGCTCAGATTGAAAGCTCCCTTCCAAAGTTGCAAAAGTTGGAATAGACCCAGTGGCCTGGGCAAGGCATTGCTTCTGCGGATCCCGCGGGGTGTGACCGTATCTCTGCCCTGGGGTGGGCATGTGGAAACAAGCAAACATGGAGGTGGGTTGCTTTGTTTTTTTTACCCGAGTCCTGTGTGCACGGTAGCAACTCCGTATCATTTTCACCAAGACCCGATTGCAAGCTTGAAGAACAGCCGGGAAAAACCAATAAACAAATCACACACAAAAAACACTTAAGGCCTCGTGCACCAAGAAGCAACTGCCAACAAAAAGCCATCAGCAATTTGCCGCCAAAGTGCTCATGGCTGCTTGAACATCTTGTGTGCTGTTGCTGCGCGCTCGGGTGGTTGCCTCCTGCTGGAACCTCGCGCGTGGACGTCGCGCTCCTATCTGCTTAAGGTGCCTATAAATGAGTGGCAATTTCCCTCGTCAAAACCGGGTTGCTTCAACCTCCTGTATGTTTCCCTTCTCATGGCCGACCACGTCTCCCAACCCATGGGTCCCTGAAATCGAACCAAGAGCGGGTTGGTCCCACACCGTGCAAGTGATCCACTTGCTAAAAAAGCGCTGGACGTTTTGGGTGGATCTTACCCACTGGCTTGAGAATCAGTCGAAGACAACACATCCCCGATTTGAACATCCTTTCGCAGTACCTGATAAAATTCTCCAACTGGCTATGAGGGAAACTTCACTTCGGGAACCAGCTGGATGGTAAGCGATTCGTCTTTCGGCCCCGCCATGATTCTTTTTTTGGGCTCCTTGTTGATTTGCAGGGGAGTATCACTTTAAAGCACATTAAAAACAGGGTAACCCACACAACTCGGCCGACACAATACAATTTTCTACACCTATGGTCTGACAGGACGTCAGTTCCTAGCAACGAGTGGACATTTTCTACGAAGGTGCAGAGACAAACCACGTAGTACTATTCTTCAACAAACATAGAAGTGGACAGGGAGGTTTCCAAAAGGAAACGAGTCTTGCAACACCCGCCTGTCAGCGTCCATGATTGCTGGAGGTCGGGTACTGCTCTCACTTCACACACCCCGTTTAGGTGGGTCGTTCCAATTCAAAATCAAGCTGGGCCTCAGTTTGACACATCGACCTTCCTGGCATCACGTTTCCAGGATACATTCCTGGCAAAACAAATGTTGCGACCCCGTCTTGTGGGGCTTTCCGTCTCTTCAAGATTCTGGTAAGTGGCCGTGGGCTGGGAAAGCGCCCCAAGCTCCACATTTTGGCGGTGAGTACCAAGTCCCTCGTTTTAGTTGAAGGAGCTTTCTCTGTTCGCTTCCCTGTTTTTGTTCGGCCCCGCAAAGACTGTTCCTCCACGTTAAATTAGGTGGCCCCGCTCAATGCTGCCTGCCGTTGCTGTACTGCAGCCCTGACCAAAGAGCAGGGCGGCTGTGATGAAACTCATAGGGCCCGCTTTGCATGGTTCTGTCGAAACTGGTAGAAACAAAGAGGGTGTTGCCTGAAGATGACGAGTTTCCTTTTGGCCCCCTTTGGAATGATGGAACGATGCACAACTCCCCAAGAAGGGTTTGGCTCACACGCAGGTGTCCTGCGGCTTTCTTTGAAAAAAACAGTCGCAATCAACATCACGCAAACACACACACACACACACACACACACACACACACACACACACACACACACACACACACACACACACACACACACACACACACACACACACACACACACACACACACACACACACACACACACACACACACACACACACACACACACACACACACACACACACACACACACACACACACACACACACACACACACACACACACACACACACACACACACACACACACACACACACACACACACACACACACACACACACACACACACACACACACACACACACACACACACACACACACACACACACACACACACACACACACACACACACACACACACACACACACACACACACACACACACACACACACACACACACACACACACACACACACACACACACACACACACACACACACACACACACACACACACACACACACACACACACACACACACACACACACACACACACACACACACACACACACACACACACACACACACACACACACACACACACACACACACACACACACACACACACACACACACACACACACACACACACACACACACACACACACACACACACACACACACACACACACACACACACACACACACACACACACACACACACACACACACACACACACACACACACACACACACACACACACACACACACACACACACATGGGTGTAGAATGGCAAAGCTGACAATGCGCACCACCATGCAGGCACAGGCTGTTTGAAGGTCTCTGGCAGGGCAATGGAGTTTCGGCACCGAGGAAGTCTAGACATCTTTCGCTAACGCACTCTCCTCTTCCGGACCGCCAGCAGTGCGTTAGTTACTCCATGCTAGATCGTCCAAGGCGGTGGCGGCCGACTCCCATAAAGAGAAAAAGCTCGACCGCAGAACCCCTTAGGAACAGGGGGGCCACACACACACCCCCCGCAGGGGGAAGAAAAACCGAAACGCCTAAAAGCCGCCTCCATCATGATTGCCGATGGGTAGTTTAGACTGGCAGAACTCCTGCCTAACTGCTCACGATCATTTTACCATGTAGCATCGCCGTCTGAGCTCAGGTGCATTGGTTCGAGATGGTCGCTTTCTGGTGCTGCTCCTTCAACTTTCTGAGACGTTCCAGGCTCCTCCAGCGCTGCGTGACATCCGCAATGGACCTGTTGAGCTTCTTGGCCAGCGATTTGTACGAGTACTTGGACCGGCTGTCCGCTTTCAGGCTGCAAAGCTGCTGGTCATCTTCCTCTGTCCAGGCGCGAGGTACCTCCGGGGGAGTTCCTGGATTGCCAGCATCGGAGTGAGCACGGGCGGGGGCTTCAGGAAGGGATTCAGGAGAGGAGAATGGGCCCACGCAAGGAGATACTGGAGCTGGCGCTGGAGTGCGAGGTGCTGGACGTGCTGGAGGCTCCGGGGAGTGCGTCCTCTCGGAGGATGTAGCACGGCATCGCTTCCGCTTCGTTCTGCGCCGATCGGTCCCACCCTTGTCCATGATGGAGCTGGGAACATTGGCCTTCTTGATGCTCGGCTGACCGACATGGGTGTGCGCCATGGAGCTCTTCGGGCGTGGGTCTATAGCCTCGTTGGCCTCCCCCGTGACGACGCCGTAGGACAGCGACTTGGGGTTAACCACTGCGTTGTGCTGGTGGTCCACGTGTAGCTGGAGTGACTGAAAGTCGGCTAGCGGTGGAGGGTCAGCCAGATCCTCCGAGTTGACCGAATGCCGAATCCCGGGGCCAGGTGGTTCTACCTCATCGAGTCGGGCATGGTCATGTGCTCTCGGTCGCGATGATTCTGCCAGCGATAGACCTCGGACATGATGATGCCGCACGCCATCGTGCCCGCCATGAATCCTGCGACTGTGTGCCTCGTCAGCCTGATTCAAGGTCTCCTGGATGAGCTGCATCATGTCCGCAGCGTTCTGGGTCATCCGGTGGTGGAGTGCAATCATGCGTCCGAGCATGACGACCGCGTTCCGATGTCGGCGAAAAGGCCCACGTCTTGAACCACCAGATAAGCTCCGTGATGAACCCACGAGTCAAGGGGCCCCGGAACTCAAACAGAAAAACCAAGCCCAACAGCCGAACCGAGCCCGACCCCGTTTTGGAAAAGGACCGAACCGAACAGAACCAGCAAGGGCCACGCAGCCGAACCTCAAGAAACAACGACAATCAGCACATAAACATTCTTTCCGGTTGGGATGGCCGGAAGATGAAACAGGTGCTGCAGATCCGCTGACTTGTAGCCGGCGGACAAATAGATACTGCGAAGCTGATCCAACGCCATCTGTACTGCCCGTGCCGGGTGCGCATACTTGGTGGCGAGAGCTGACCGTGATCTAGCCCCGGAGAGAAGGGTGGAAAGACTTCCTGCAGTGCGGGGTCCTCTGATCTGCCAGATTTTTGTTGGGGTTTTGTAGTAAATCGCCCGGTCGCCCACGTCGATGACGAAGCCGAGGAACTCAGAGGAACCCACCTGTTCCAACACGATGGGTGCACCATAAAAGTCAGCGTGAAGCAAAGCCTCCAATGGGGCTGCTGGGTGACCGGAAGCCGGAGACGGGAAGATCACAAATCTGTTGTCGACATATCGCTCCAAGAAGATGTTGTGACTGGCGAACCATTGTCCGTAAATACGCTGCCAGAGAACTTCGTGCCGCGCGACGCAAATGTGACTGAGAACTGGGCTCAGCTGAGAGCCAATCGCTGTTCCGTGGACTTGGCGAAGAATGAGGGTTCCCACCTGGACGTACATGCATTGGAAGCTGGATTTGACTATATCCAGAATGTCTTCCACATAAATGACCCGCGTAGTCGGCGTGCGTCCGTAGGATTGCTTACCCGCAAAGACCCGGTTGTAGTGGACCGCCGCTTGAGTTTCCACCGCATAGATGAGACCAGCATGCTCTCGCCGGTGCTCTGCTAATAGTTGCTCAACTGCTGCGCACACCTGATCCTGAGGGACACTGTTGAAGAAGCCGACCAAATCGTCATTGTGAAATGCGAGAGTGACTGTATCGTCTGTGTTGTCAAAGTATTGTTTGACGTTCTGCCATATCCTCGGCGTGGGGTGTACCCCCCACGAACACTTCCATGTACTCGCGGCGATCTCGCCGAGACGGATCGCAACCGCTTTGAAGAGCTGCCGGTGCACCACCTTGTGGTAGGCTATAATGGTTCGCCCCGATTTCCATTGCTTCTTACGTTTGAGAAAGACCTTGCCGACCGGGATCGCGGTGGTCTTCTTCCTGTATGCCCATTTGTACCTCTTCTGCAGGTGCCGGGGGATAGCTTCAACAATAAGAGCCTCGGCCTGGTCGGGCTTCAGCGAAGTGGCGGCAAATGTGCCGGACTGAAGCCAGGTGTTGTGGAGGCCTTTGAAGTAGAGTTGGGGGCAGAAAAACATGAGGTGGTGGTTGTCATGGTCCTCGTTGTGGCACACAAAGTCCTGGCTGAGGTGCCGATGCAGGATGTTCAGCTGGTGCTTGGTGAGAAGTTGATAGGTGGATGCGTGCTGCCGGTGTTTCAGAAATTCACTGCGTAGGTGCTGCATGAGGGGTGCGTGAACTGGTCCAGGGGCAGGCCATGGTGCAGGCACCATTTTCGTAGGCGTTCATGAACCTGCACTTCGTAGACTGACAGGTCCACATAATATGACGCCAAGGCTGAGGTGTAATGGACGTGCTGTGGAGTTCCGGGAAACCGGAACTCATCCAATCCCGCGGCCACATG